TTGTTTTTATTTTAAAGTCGGATATTCTTAATAAAAAATATCCGTTATGTTGGTCCAATCTACCTGACTAATATTATAAATGCGATAGTTTGTACGGATGGATGTTTGTTACATGGTATCTTTATAACGGCTACACAGATCTTGCTGACATTTGCATTTGCATAGATGAAGAACATAGCCTGAAAAAAAACATAGATTACTAATTATTTTTTTTAATTCGCGGGCGACAGCTAGTTTTTTTTTAAATATTTTAAAGCTATATAAGGTTATAATATTCATAAGTCTAATAATACTTTATCAATTACTTCTGAATAAATTCCTATACCCAGAGAAAGGATAATAAGTAGTTATAATATGGTTGCAGCGCGTTATATTTTCGTTTGTTTGTGATGTGAAATCCCGCAGCTGTTGAAAGCCATTCGTCACAAATAATGTACACGAAGAAAGAAAGTAACACCTGTTCTTTGTGCATTCGTGATGGGTTTTTGTCGAGATTTTTAACATAAATTACATCGTAAATATACATTGTAAGTTAAATAATTGTTATTTATCACAAAACCATGCTGCATAGTATAAACTCTTAATTCTAAGTATACAAATACTTTAAAAACAGATTTTTCCCCAAATTTCCCAACTACAACTTGGTATATAGATTTTTTTTTTATATCAGAATGGGGCAAACGAGCATCGGGAACACCGAGGTGTTCAACGACGCCCATGACATCAGCAATACCAGAGGAACCACAGATGCGTTGCCGTCCTTATTTAATATCAATTTTTCTATTTAATATGTTCGCTCGTTTACTTTTTTCTTAATTGTTTCCCAAACGTAACAGTCAGGGTTATTATTTGTCAATTAATTTAATCAAAAATATAACTGTATATAAATCGTATCTTTAAACATAATTCCACGGAATATTCTGTAAAAATGTAATTCCGTATAAAACGTACATTTTTATCAGAATCTTTTATTTCCGGTAAAAATTCTTGTTCAGTATTTCCATTTAATATGCCTTATACAATACGACAGCGATAATTGATACGAATATTTCGGGGAAAAATAAAACAGGTACAGAATATAACAATAAAATAATTAACCTTTTTTTTCTTAAAATTTTGCCAGTACTTTAAAAAGGTTTATAATTTTAATGAAACTTTTTGCATGATCTATTGAACTCTACACAGGTTGCTGCTTGGAAATGACAGCTTTTGCTTTGTTCCGACTTAAAAGTTACTGTCGGTTAATTCTGTTTCTAATAGTTCGACTTTCCAAAACCTATACCAACCAACCAGAGCCATAATGGCGAAAATCAAATAGGCACAGAATACCATGGCTTATAGCCACTGGAATAGAGGATCTTGATTAACACTTTTGACTCTTTTTAGGGTTCCGTACCTCATAGGAAAAAAAAACGGAACCCTTATAGGATCACTTTGTTGTCCTTCCGTCTGTCTGTCAAGAACCTTTTTTGACTTTAGCACTGCACACTGAGTTTAGCTAAATAAGTTTAGCTAGTTAAGTTGGTTGATGAGTTTTTATCAATCTCAAGACGCATTAATATTATTTATGTGATTATATAAAGTAGAATTATTTCCTAAACATAGGAATGTTTTTAACTGTATATTCCTGCTAAAATTTCTGAGGAAAATACTGACTACAAAACTTGTTATGTGTACCATATTAGAACAGAAAAATACTGTGAGTCGTATTGGATGAATCAGACTTTATTATTTTACCAATTTCGATAATAATTAGGTTATGTTGAAGAAAATTGAATGTATTATTTGTAACTATATCTATATTATTTGTAACTTTTTACCTCCAAAGATTTTGTTACATATTATTTTTTTTTATGAAAGGCTAAATTGGGAATGTGCAAACATAACCACGACTTAGATTTCAAAATTATTAAAATCTTGACTGTATCGTAACGAAATAATTTTCTATGTTTTGAGTAATGTAGAAATATTTGTATTAAGTATAATAACATTTCCGTGAAAAAATACAAATTAATTTATAATTAGCATAAGCGTCAATAGCCTAATGGTTAAGGATACGGATTTCCGATCACGAGGTCGGAGGTTCGAATCCCGCCATTCGACTATTGTCGTAAACTATATCCTAGCACAAGCATACAGTTTAGTTGGAATGGTAAAAGAAATATTAGTAAATTTACAAAAAATCTGCTAAAATTTATTTCTAAAAAAAAAATCCTCATTCTCAACAATCAGCAGTTCACAATTAAATAAAAACATGCTTTATACATGGACCTAAAATGTGTTAAGAAAAAAATAAGTAAGGTTTAGTCTCTATTCATGTCTCTGTCCCCAAACCAGAACCTATTTCTTCGCGTAAAGGGAAAAAAGAGTGCGAGAAGTTTAATTAAACAAGTTTGGCAAAGAATCGGGTGCGAGACTTTTGTAAACGGATAATCGAAATCTTTGAATCCACCTGTTAATGGATTCCTTGCCGAACGAGGTTTGAACTGACAGCTCTCAAGCAAATATAGAGCGGTGTGCTGCTGACATCCGCAATCATTCTTTAAAAGTTAGAAGAGTTTGTAAGCGGTTTCCATATTTTAAATGTGAATATTTTACGAAACAAAATTAAAAAAAAATACAATTAAGCTATGAAACTTTATGGATACATAATTGTTTATAAGTAGTGATTATGTAGTAATAATTTATTTTACTCGTATTATTTCAAACACATTTATAAGTCCGTAATCTAGAGGGGTAGGTAGGGCACAGCCTACTATTTGCTGGTATCCTGGTACATTTTTTGTACCTCGTAAACACACGTCAACTCAGTGATAATCCATGATGCTTTCTGTTTATTCGAAAAACATACTAAATCGATTTAAAATTTGTAAAATATATACAACTTAGTTTGCATTATACATTTCTCGTATCATTTGATAAATCCAAATATAATCCAATTTGTAACTGAATTTAGTAAAATGAAAAATATTTTGCGAGGTAATTGAGGAAAATCTTATAAAAAAAGCAATTCTTGTATTATATCTTGGAAAGCGTTCTAACAATTTAGAGGAAATTTTGTTTTAATAGGTACAATTTTTCATTTCCTTGAAAATTACATAGAGAAATAGAAGAGGAATAAAGCCAAAGCTAAAGCTAAAGACGGCGTAAATAAAGACGCAAAAAAGTGGGCATATCAAATTGAACGTGGCCAGAGATAGACCGAGGTGGAAAAAGTTGCTGGACCAAGCCAAGGCCCACAAAGAGCTGTAGAACTAGAAGAAGAAGAAGAAAGCTAAAGCTGCATCTTTTTACAAATAATCATTTCTTTGAGCTAACTTTTGATATATCATTATGTTACTACCGATGTTTAAAGAGGTTCTTCTTGTTTTTATATTTAGTTTTATTCTCAAAGAATACTGGTAATGGAGTATTTTATAGAAAAACAAATTCGCAAGAAGTG